TTTCAATCAAATGAAATAAGAAATGCGATTCAACAATGCTACATACACAGAATTTGTATACAGAAAAATACTCAGAATATTCAATGAATGGTTCAATGTGTTCTACTATATAAGAGTTTAATCTCAATCTTATATTGCCTCTCCGATTATATATGAATTCTGTGTCCATATCTTTAATGAAGGAGATTGCATTACTCATCAAAGAACGCATGACATATAAGTCGTCCATAAACAAATCAAAGAAGATACATGTGGAACAACATCAGTGAAATAGTCTTTTCAATGGACACTAACATCTCATATGTATGGCCACTATTAATTTTTCATGGTCAATTTTGTAATTGTCATGTGTCCACAACCATCCTCTTGTGATAATTAGCTCAATACTAAAAAAAAAAAAAAAAAACTAAAGTACCTTTAGGCTAAGGTCCCGCAAGAACCAAAAAATTAGCCATTTCCAAGACTCACTCCAATTCATGAAATGATTACACTTTCCATCCAGAAAGTTAAAACTGAGCTTAGATCTTCTCTGCCTCGGAAGATGCAATGGAACACAATCAAAACATGTTGAAACCACCATTGTTCCAATCCAACAGGACTTGGAAGGTTCTCTGCTTGATTCGTCTCTCCATCTTCTTCTTCTTCTTCTTCCCCGTCGCGCACGCCTTTGACAACCTCACCAATGAATCCTTAGATCATCTTCTCCATGATCTTGCCTCCCAAACTCTCATTCAACACCGACCTCGCACTGGTGCTCTCTACAGAGCAAATCTCCCTGCCAATCTATCCGGGATACAAGTCTCGGTTGTCAGGCTCCGAAGCAAGACCTTGTGGGGCAAAGGTGCTAATTTCAGCCACTTCCAAATCCCATTACACACCATTCCAGTGCCTTACGTGAAGAGGATTGTCATTATCTATCAAGACTTTGGCAATTGGTCTTCTCATTACTTCAACTTGCCAGGTTACTCACTAGTGTCCTCTGTGATCGGTTTTGTGGCTTTTGATGCCTCGAATGTAAGCTCGAATAGTATCGCCAAGATCAACCTCGACACGATGGGGAAGCTGATAAAAATTCAGTTCCCCAACTTGACATTTCCAGAAGAAAGATGTGCGATTTTTAGTCCCAATGGGACGGGTATTGTCAGTGATGTGAGCGCCAGGGGGAATTTTTGTTACAGTGGAAATCAGGGTTATTTTTCGATGGTTACTCCGTTGATGGGGAAGAAGGAGGGGATTTGGGGTTTGTGGGTGGGTGGTTTTGTGCTCGGAGTTGTCGGGTTTGCCGTGGTGGCAGGTTTTGTTGGGGTGGTGCTTGTCAGGTTTATGAAGGTGAAGAAAGTGAAGGAAATGGAAAGGCAAGCTGATGAAGGGGTTGGTCTTGAAACAGTTTCCATAGGGGAGAGTAAAATGCCCTCTGCAGGTGTTATGAGAACTCATCCAGTCCTTGAGAATGCTAGCCTTTCATGATCCAATGCTCTTTTTTCTTTTCTTTTTTCTTTTCGTTTTCTCTTAATTTTTCTTCATTCCTTTCTCAAAAGGAAGAACCGGAAGCAATGTTCTGAAACCCAGGACCGTCGAGCAAACCAGAATGAGTTTGACCATTTCACTGATTCAACCACAGTTTCCACCAGAGTTCCTCCGTACTGTTTTATGGATAAGTCAATGGGTCAATCAGTTAAACCAGCCGATTCAATCCGGTTTTCACAAGATTAAAAAAGAAGAAAAAAGATTAAGAGTTTGCTTTGCCAGAATATTGGACATAATCTATAAACAATAGCAGAGTGTATGCCGTGCTTGGTAGTTTTTCCCTATCATGTTTATTTTTTATGAATTGATTGTTTCATTTATATTTTTTGCCTGAGAACATGTCATTGTTTGGGTCATTATTGAGAAAGACATAATACATACACACACAAAAGCAAAACAAAGAAAAAAAATAAAACAAAAATGTGAGATGACGACAAAGCTCAACTGAAGGCTCAACTCACATATAAATTCATGCTAATATAATAGCTAAAATTAACCAAGAAAACGACTGCTAATAAAATCAACAATCATAAGAAACAAAAATGCTATCCACCCTGAAAAGTTTCATGAAAACTATCCCGATCTATTTGAAACAAAGGTTCTTTTTTTCAAATAATTGATAAGAGAGGAATAGGAAAACAAACTACATCATAGAGCAAGGGTGAGGAAATGACTCATCTACCAAACCAACACTTCGTCAGGCTTGCTAAGTTGAGTATAATAGCCAAAACTATTCCATACACAAGACAACAAAATAATTGTAGATGTGTATATAAATGGGGAGCTCATCAAACTGGCTTGTCTCCTCTTCATCTGAGACATCTAACTTCACATATGCCGTAGTAGGTGAAAGCAAGGTCTCTGAGAATAAGATGCAATCGAGACAGTAGAAAATGTGCTCTTAAAACAGAAGATCAGATATGAGAATATGAACGGATCAGCTAATTAAAGTGCATCCTGAGGTGAGTCCACGGCCCGGACTAAATGGGACCAGTCCACGGCAAGGTTGTTAAAATTGAGATCCCAGGTAGGATCGTTGGGAGGGACTAATGGATTGAATCATAAAATCAGATCAAGAATTGTAAGATCCTACTCTTAATGCAAAATAAAATAAAAAATTATCGATAATGATAATCTTTGTTACATAATTTTAAAAAGATCAAAGAAAACTGATAATTTGATATAATGTATATTCTATGTTAACATAAATTAGAGAAGACATTTGAAAAATGAGTTTATAATCAAACTATGCACATATATATAAAAAATAAATAATAACAAAAAAAAAAATTTGATAGGATCGGGATCGAAATAGAATCAGGGATTGTATGCGATTCTACATCATTTTATGATTAGGATCGTAATGACTTTAAGATCTTAATTTGATCCGGATCGTTTGGCCCAACTGAAATCATAGAATGGTGAGATCCTACGATCTGGATTGGAATTCTGATAATCATGGTCCACTGTGCAGACAGGAGAGTAGCTGCTTTCCAAAAGAAAATAGCATATCTTCTCTAACATACAGTATCAGCTTCCGCATTTTCTCAAGGCAATATAGCTACAACAATTAATTTGATCCGGATCGTTTGGCCCAACTGAGATCATAGAATCGTGAGATCCTACGATCTGGATTGGAATTCTGATAATCATGGTCCACTGTGCAGACAGGAGAGTAGCTGCTTTCCAAAAGAAAATAGCATATCTTCTCTAACATACAGTATCAGCTTCCGCATTTTCTCAAGGCAATATAGCTACAACAATGCAGCTGGTCGGCGTTCAGACAACAAGAATTGAATGTATAATGAAGTCAAAAAATTCCGTCCAACAACATTGATAAGCCACCAAGGAACTGTAAAAGTTGCCATTAAGAGAGAGCACCGTCATTCAAACTCTGAAATCAACTAATTAGCATCTGTAATGTTGGACTTGAAACAGAGAAAGACCAAAGAAGGCAAGGAGACATTAAAAGCAATCAGAAGTCATCAAATTCAACACAGGGTACTACAAATTTTCAGCTAACAAGCCTGTGCTCAACCAAAGTTCTGAGCAAAAACAACAAATTTATATTAAAAGAACTATGCACCGCACCACGAATATGAAAACCTATCAAACTATAGGAAGTAATTACCTAATGCGAGTGCTATGTCCAGGGTGGCTGGAACAATGTGCTTTGGGAAGATGGTAGGCCCTTAGCCAGCACAGGATAACCAGAGGTGGAGGAGGAGAGAGCTGAGGCAACCATAGAAGAGAGGGGTGGCAGTAAGTACAATTGCCATCCTCCTACGAGTGCCTCAGCTCTGTTGGAGGAGAGAGCTAGGCACTCTTAGAAGAGAAAGGGTTCCAATTTAACAAAGCAAGTAATGAATCCTCAAGTGAATAAAAAGGAATCCAAAGGTAACCCAAACCATTTCCAAATTTACATTCACACTTCACACAGCTACTCAAAAGACAAGTTGTCAACTTATATGTCAATACATGAAGTTTTCTAGCATATTCACTCCATTGGGAGAAAAGCTCTAATCTGATAGTAGTACCTCTAAAAAGTTGTGTACAGATAGAAATATGAATTCAACTGATTGACAGCTGTCTTTCCGTAGAGATCTAAGAGAAGATCCCATTACCACCTTAACTTTCGATCCAAATCTTCCATCAAAACAAATGGTTATAACATGATCATTATTAAAGCTTTCAACACATACAATATGGCTATGGACCATGCATAAAAAAACTCATGTTGTCAAACACAGCAACTGGTAGATCTAACAAAGAAGGCACAAAAATAAGCAAGCTAGAAGTTCCCCGTAAAGCACACAATCAACAACACGAAGCACTTCTCACAGAAATGCGAGTGGGAAGATATAACTCAATGCAAAGTAAGAGGGACAGCATTTCACACCTAGACCCAACATTTGTACCCAACTCCCTTTACATGGCCAACTCAAAAATTTAGCAACATAAAACAACATAATTTTTTTTGTTTTTTGTTTTTTGTTTTTTTTGGGGGGGGCGGGGGGGAACATTTTACAAATACGATCCTTCCATGGTAGAACAATAATTTTGGCATCATCATCCCATAACTCTAGCTCTTTCCTTTTTCTTCTTTTTTCCCCTAACCCATAAACAAAACAAAAAATAAAAGAAAAGATCTCAAAATAAATCTCCCATACAGTAAAACATGTCTACTACCGTAAGACTTTTCAATTTACAATCATATCTCACTCTCAATACATGAGACATATTTAAGTTATAACTGACTCCAAATTACTCAACTCCAAATTACTCCATTCATTTTTCTTTAATAGAACTAAAACTGTGCATCAAAACAATATATTTCTTAAACTAAGGTTTCAATGGATTGATATATTATTAGATTCAACAAATTCGATTGAATATGACCATGTTTCTAAGTTGAACATATCATAAGGGGGCCAGGGGAATAGTTATGGCAAGCAAGGTTGTGTAAAATAATATTCAAGGAAGAACAAGGAAAAGCTCATCTTCTCACCTGCACTTGCAAGAAATCATTTGGAAACACTGAAGCAGGTAATACTCTGAAGGCATGCATCAGTTATTAGCATCAAAAAAAGAAAAGAAAAGACTGCGAGGCTAAAACAACAGTTGATATGCCTAAGCAGGGAATCCAAAGCAAAAGATGCAACTTGAATTCAATAGAAACATCAATAACAACACCCAATGTGCAAACAAGTGATGGAACAATTGAAAAACAGCTCAATTGAGAGCAGCAACACGGGTGTTACTTTTTCTAGCAAGCTTTGTCCATTCTGTATGAAACGAACCAGGGCGATCAATCCTCTCATAGGTATGTGCCCCAAACAAGTCCCTCTGAGCCTGAACAAGATTTGCAGGAAGCCTAGCCCTCCTATAAGTATCAAAGTAAGCAAGACTAGCACACATCCCCGGTGTACTAATCCCGGCTGAAATCGCCAAACCCACCACTCTCCTCCACGCCGCCTGTCTCTGCACCATCTCCCTCGCAAACTCCGGGTCCACCACCAAGCTTGCCAAATTCGGATTCCGCTGATACGCCTTCTTAATCCGGTCCAAAAACACAGCTCTGATAATACACCCACCTTTCCAAATCCTAGCTAATTCCCCAAAATTCAAATTCCAACCCTTCTCAACACTCTTTGCTCTCAACAAGTTCATCCCTTGAGCATAGCTACAAATCTTGGAAGCATACAAAGCCTGCCTCACATCATCAATCAACCTCTTCTTATCAATCCCACTCCTCACAGCCCCAACCTCCTCCTTCAAACCCGCTTCCCTCAACACCTCCGCGGCCGCCTCTCGCTCTTCCTTCAACCCGCTCAAATACCGACAATCCAACGAGGCTGCAATCGTGGGAGCAGCTACCGAAAGCTCCGCGGCCTGCTGGACAGTCCATTTCCCGGTCCCCTTCATCCCAGTCTTATCCAAAATCTTATCCACCAATTCCCCATCTCCATACTCATCCTTCACCATGAATATATCAGCCGTAATTTCAATCAAAAAACTCTCAAGCTCCCCTCTATTCCACTCCCTAAAAATCTCTCCCAATTCATCATTCGACAAACCCCCAACACTCTTCAACACGTCATAAGCCTCCGAAATCAACTGCATATCACCATACTCAATTCCATTATGAACCATCTTCACGAAATTCCCAGACCCTCCTTCCCCAATATAGGTCACACAAGGACCATCCTCAACTTGAGCGGCAACTTTCCTCACAATATCTTCAATATTGAGATACGCTTGGTAGGAGCCACCAGGCATCAAAGAAGGACCATATCGAGCACCCTCTTCGCCTCCAGAGACGCCCATGCCGAGATAGAGGAGGCCTTGATCGGAGACTTGGCGGATGCGGCGTTCGGTGTTTTGGTACCATTCGTTGCCGCCGTCGATGATGGAGTCGCCGGGGTCCATGTGGGAGGAGAGGGCGGAGATGGTTTGGTCGACGGGAGAGCCGGCCTTGACGAGGATGATGATGGAACGGGGTTTTTGGAGAGATAGGACGAAGTCGCGAGGGGTGTAGTGGCCGGTGAGAGGGAGGTCGCCTTCGCGGTGGGCGCGATCCAGGGTTTCGTCCACTTTGGAGTTGGTGCGGTTGTAGACGGAGATTGGGAACCCTTTGTCGGCGATGTTCAGAGCTAGGTTTTGGCCCATTACGGCCAGTCCGGCCAGACCTATGCGGGAGAGAGATGGGGATGCTGCTTCCATAGAGAGAGACTAGGTACGTTTGAGAGAGAGAGAGAGAGAGAGAGAGAGAGAAGGGAAGTGTGGAAATGGAGATTGGAGAGTTGGAATTGAAAATGTTTTTTTATATGTATGTGTGTGTGAGTGTGTGTAGGTTGGGTAGGTAGGTAGGTTGATACCGGTGGGGAGCGACGGACTCGTCGAGGAGAGAGAGAGTGGCGTAGAGTTGGGATCCTCCCCCTTACGCTTCCTCTTTGCACTTTTTTTTTTCAGGTCTTTAGGTTTACTTTTAGGTTTATTTTTAATAATTTAAACTGTTTATATTTTACGATTTATTCAGTATATCATATTTGTAAAAAATTAAATTGATCGAATATCAGAAAATATGTGTTCGGAAACTATTTATTAAATTCTTTACAAAAATAGTTTGTAGTTCGACTTTTCTGAACACATGCTTTCTGATATCCGATCAACTTGATTTTTTAAAAGTATGATATACTGAATAAATCTTAAAATATGAACGGTTCAAATTATTAAAATTGGGCCTAAAAGTGGGCCCAAAGGCCCTGCAATGAAGGAGTGCAAGGGAAAGATCTATGCTCGTGCGGCGTAACCGTCGACGATGATTCCTAAGCAGAACATGAAACGAAGACGTTTCAAGTTAGTTTTTTTATTTTTTCCAAAAACAAATTTGTGACATAAGGATATCTTCCACTAATTTAAATGTGATAAAATTTAATTTATTCCATTCATCAAATTTATATCAAGTTAAATTTTTACTAAAAAAATCATTAAATTAGAAATGAAAATAAATCTTTCATGAAATGTTCAACAATCTTTTTTTTTTCCCCTTAAATTTGATAAAACTAATGAAAGATGAAATATATATATATATTTATATATTGATCTAAGGAAAATTCATTAAAGAAAGCTAAACGGTACTCACAAGAATCCATCCAACCGAAAATTTACACCAAACAAAAAAATAAAATAAAATACAGCAAGTAACGTAAAGGAAAAAACCTATAAAAATATTCATAAGCACATTTCGTACTCGTGCTCGTATTGCGAAGCAGAGCTAATTATAAAAGTTCAACAATAGAGCATGTTTGGAAGAATTTATATACCCCCACCAGATAGAGGGCAAGTTTAACATCACCACCGATGGACTCACCAACAAACAAAACAACACGAAAACCTACAAAACATAGGCAACCGGAAAACAGAAAAGTAAATCCACAAACAAACCATAAAATAAAGCAACAAAACAGCAAGGCAAACCTAAAGCAAGGCAAGCCAGGAAAACAAAGGCAAACAAACCCACAAAACCAAAACTTTAGCAACGACAAGCAAATTTGGCAGGGAATAAGGTGGCAGAGTAGGGGAAGGAAGGCGGCGTCCAGTAGGCCAAGAGAAGGCAGCAGATAAGATGATGCAGGGCGACAAATCTAGCGATGATGGACAATGCCTGGTGGAGGCGGGACGGAAGGGGGAGGGCGGATTTGACGAAAGCCATGGCCGAAGTTGAGGCAAAGGGAAACAAACACTTCACCGATGAGAGAAAAAATGAAAATCCAAAATTTCTAAGTTATTGGATCAAAGTATGGGTGAGCAGCAAATATACCGATCAACCAAAACCGACCGAACTGAACCGATCCGCCGCATTTTGGACGGATGCGTGATAACGAGAGAGGGGTAGGAGGAGGAGAAGGGAGGCTAGAGGCCGCCACAAGCCCCTCTTCCACCCCGATGGCCGCTGCACTCTTGAAACCCTAAGAGGAGAAAAGTTTAGAGAGAAAAGCTTTCAACCACTCCAATTGCGTATTCTCTCTACATATGAAAGATGAAATATTGAACATCAGTATTTTTTTCACTTGAATTGATTAGAGGAGGTTTTTTTGGATAATTTGATGAAAAATTGGGATAAGTTCTACCTAATCAAGCTTTTATCTAAATTGTTGAACAAATTTGATGGGAAAAAAATTGTGAAATGTTGGGCGCTCCAATGAAATTGTAATTGAAGTAATGCCAAATTTTATATTGTTTCAAATTTAATACAAATTTTAATAAATTATCAAATTTTGGCATTGCTATCAACAAGTAAATGTAATTTATAGAGATCCAACCATATTTGAAAAGATGAGATAATGATTATGCTAAAAAATTATGCAAGCAATAGAGCAAAGTTACAAAATTGTAGCATTTATGTAATGACCCCAAAACATGTGTCATATTTATCAGTAATTAATTATGTGTTTATGCGAATTAATTGAAGAATATCTGTTTGAATTAGAAGAATATCTGTTGAGATGAGAACTTTGGGACTGAAATTGATGACCGTAATGGGTTCAGAAAACGAAATTGAGCACGCCTATGTGATACCGGGAATTATTAGAACCATTTGGGAAAATAAATTGAGGACTGAATTTCGTCTGAATCGCTAAGTCATGTTTGGCTCAAGATTATGGCACATTTCTATTTTTTTTGTGTGATATATCTATACATAGATAAGGATGTTGACTCTTTGACTCAAAAAGAAGAAAAGAAAAATCTGGAAAGGAGAGGGAGAGAGAGAATTCGTGAGAAGGGAAAGAAGAGGAGGAAAAAGAGAATCAAGCTAAATCTTCTACAATTAAGTGATTAAGGTAAGAATTTCCCTCTAACTTCTTGAAATAAGGTTGATGCATCAATGATCTCATGTTAAATAAGAGGATTGAAAGGGGAAATATGTTTAATTTGAGCATGCATGGCATGAATAGATGATTTATGGTTATATTTGTCATATTTTGAGGAAGAACCTCCATGGATTTAAGAATGAAGCTTTTATGAACATGTTTTATGATTTTTCATCTTCAATCAAGGTTGGATTTTGTACATGATGCATATGGGTTTTGATTTGAAGTTTAATGTTGATTTAAGATGGGTTTTAAGTGTTTTGGGTCTTGGATTTCATAAATGTGGAAAGTGATTTTGTAAAGAGGAGAATGAAGCTTGGAAGAAGAACCAGAAATTCGGATTTTTGCATGGTCCGCTCGAGCGGAGGTATTCCCGCTCGAGCGTGAAAAACAGCCTCCCAGCAGTTTTGAGACGTTTTACAGTACGCTCGAGCGGCCAAAGTGGCGCTCGAGCGGGAAGGCCTTTTTCAGGAAAATTTTGGGGAAGTTGCAGACTTGATTTTAACATGTTAATTGCATCATTTATCATCTTATGAACATGAAATGAGTATGAATCAAAGTAAAGAAAGATTAGAATGAACATGAAATGATGTAAAGGAAAGAATGAAGTGCATGAATTACAGGATTTAATGATAATGTGTATTGAGAGATGTATGATATGTTGATATTTGCAGGTCAAGATTTGAAGACCGTGCATTCGGTTTCGGAAACCCTCTGTGAGTAACATTTCTGTAAAGATATGTTATTATGAACTATGTTTTAAATGTATTACGTTATGCTATGCTTTGAAATGAGAATATTTTCCGTGAACGAATGTCCTAATTTGCGAATCTAGTATGGCATCCATAGATAGTTGGGTCATGGGGGCGGGAACATGCAGGCCCATGCGTCATGAGTCATGGGGAACGGCATGGAAGGACAAGCCCATGACTAGTTACGAGATCTCGTAGACTATTGACTGATAGACTGTTATGAAAGGTTCTGTGGAGTATGCCATTACGTATGTTCTTATGATGACTGATGACTGATATATGTTTATGATTGATTTATTGTGGATTTATGAAAATGTCGGACTTCGTTCACTAACCTCTTTACTGTTATGTTACTTGCTGAGCTCTAGCTCATTGTTTGTAATTATGTATTTATAGGTGAGCACTCTGGGAGTCAAGCCTAGGCGGGTTCTCGAGCCGAGCCGCTGTTTTGAAGCCTAACAAGTGTTTTGTGTGCTCTGAGCCGGGGCTAGGCCTGGAAGGCCGTTTTGTGAGCTTTGTCTTGTTGTATCTGTGGTTTTTGCCTATGTTTTGTATATGAATTTTGATTATATGTGATGTAATGTAGTGGGTAAATTAACATTTTTTTGGCATGTAATGTATGTTCATATAAATGCACAGCTCTTTGGACCATGGTTATTTGTTTTCGCTTCCGCGAGCCCCTTTTTATTTATGTTTTTTACAGAAAGGCCTGTGGTAATCTAGGATTACTGTCTCGTTGCCAAACTTCTAGGGGCGAGTTTGGGGCGTGACAATTTATGTACTGTAGTATAGCCCAAATTTAGTAATAACATTCTAAATTTGACATTTAATAACATTAAAGATGCTCTTATTGCAATTCAAAATATGATCATATTTGAAGTGTTTGTTTTGAACTATGTTGGTGATAATTACAAATAAAACATCAGAAAATACAAATAATAAAAATTACAATAACTATTGTAAGGGCTGAGACGCGGGAAATTCGCTCTCTTTAATAAGATTCAAGCCCTCTGCGGTTAGGCAAAGTCTCACACCGGTGCAGTAGAAAAAAACCTTGACTTGTCCCCCCAGGATACAATAGTCCGACTAAGTCGTATGGTTCACCAATACTACATAATTGGTTGAACCCAAAGCTTTATCACATACACCCTTTTTTATTTGCCTGATAATCTCACACAAAACATAATAAAGCAATCAAAACTTCTTCTCTCCTCCAAGATAAGAAGTTAGATCAATTTATAGAATATGAAGCTTGTTAGGCAAGTGGCTTGGAGGAGAAGACACTTAGTGGATAAGAATAGGAAAGGAAATTGGTGAGAAATTTCCTTGGAAGACTTGAGAAGAAGACTTGAAAGACTTAAAAGACTTGGAAGACTTATCTAGGAAGACTTGTCTTGGAAACTTGGTGGGCAAGTTTCCTTGGAGGAAAAGAAAGGATTAACAAGTTATTTGGAGCCCAATCACATAATATAATCTATAACACATTATAATATTAAAATATCTGCTAACATTTTCCCACCTATTTTAATATTATAAGTAACAAAAATTGAGATTATTAGGCAAATAAGGATATTATGTATCACGGTAGGTGTGCTCTGTATTGAACCTCCATTAGTGAAACAATAATATCTACTCCAGAGCCAATAGTATGCTTAGCATTGAACTATGACTGCTTAAGGAAAATAAATAATTATTGCACACACATAATATTCCAGGTGTTCACATAAGCTTTAAAAGCCAGTACATTACGACATTGTGCGATCCCAAGATTCATGAGTGTGTTTGAGAATTAACCCAAATCTCATAGGTAACAGCCCCACTACCACACT